GTCACATTTGTTAAGTGAAATCATTGCAGTTGTTATGTTAGGAACGCAGTTGGTAAGTGAACCTGGCTTCCCCTCTGAATGTTTATTGGCAACCGTAGGGATGCTGCAGTGGTCATAAGGGTGCAAAAACCATTGTAAGTTGCTTTTTTCGGTGCCGCTGTAAGTCTGCAACTTCAAACTGCCACTAAATGAATGACTGTAAGCCAAGGACTACCTGTACTTAATTCTTTCTCAAAAACAGGAGACAAAGATTTGGCTGGGCCTTCAGGAATGGAATAGGACAACTCGCCGTGGGACCAGAGGTGGCCTTCAGCAGGTTCTGACCAGTTCTGGAGAACCGGTAGTGGAAATTTTGAGTAGTTCGGAGAACTGGGAAATAACAATAATAATAAAATAAAGGAAGTGAATCCGGAAAGACAAGATTTATAATAATTTTGATGAAAACGTAGTCACCGATAACAAAAGTCACGGAATGAAATGATGAATACAGCCTTGAATTGTCCCGCGACAATTTTGTCCTAGACCCAGGAACCCAAAGGAGTTCCGGCCTTTTCTTTGTTACCTGCTAACCCTTTTTCCACCTTCCCAGAAAAGCTGGTATATCAATCCCTTTGTTGTCTTAAAATGTTTGTTACTCTCTTCTGCAGCCACATTGATCAGCATTCTTCTTTATTTAGTTTTCTCTTTGGAATTATTTGGGATTGTGCTATATTAATGCATCCTAGTCAAGAAACTCTCCTTCTCCTGGGCTCCCTTCCTTGTCAGTGTTTCGCTGTTGCTCAGAGTTTGTTCAGATCCGCCTGGATGAAGCCCAAGAAAGAAGTTCAGTTTTGCTTAAATGTTACAGGAAGTGACCTTTTCCTCCAAGGTTCCTGCTATTCCTACTTCCCCACGTATGTTCTATGGCTAGGCTGTCTTTGTTGCCTGGTCAGGTCCGAGATAGAGGATTCTCTTGCACCTTCTGAAGGAGAAAATTCCCACAAGAAAAGCCTGGAATTTCCTAGAGGGAGATGTGTCTCCTAATAAATATTGGGATCATGGAATCCTTCCGACTTTCCCTTAGAAAGAGCAGCTATGTGGCGTAGGTATGCCCCTTTCTCTGCTTTCCCAGTTTTGAGATCATGACTCTTCCTAACAGTCTCTGTTGACATGTCTCCTCTGTCCCTTCTTGGAAGAAAGTGGCTTTAAAACGGAGAAGCTGCTGTTAAGAGCTTCATGGGAGGCTGTTCTCAAGGGTGTATCTACCTGAGAGCGTTTGTGTCTAGTCCACAGACCTCCAGCGGTGGGCCTGTGGAGAAGCCACCGGGGCCCCTCGAACGGTTTCAGGCAAGACACCAAGAGCTGGTTCTGCTTCCAGGAGGCTTGGAAGAGCAGCCCTGCCTGTCCTGGCCCTCTTGAACTTTGCCTAGACTTCCTGCAGGCGACTCAGGCTGAGCTTTCTGCCCCACTTCGGAATGTGCCCCTGCGGGATTGACCTTTAGAGCTTATCTTTTTCAACAGGAATGTCGCTATGAGAGATGGCAATTGTTCTAGCATAATTGCTTCTTATCCTTTTATTATAAATTGCCAGGAGATTTTTGGTAGACAGTGGAATAATCTCATCAATTTAAAAATGTGCGTGTCATTTTAAACCACATCAATAAACGTGTAGCTTACAAAGCACTGATGAAAGGAGCCATCCCAGACAGGTGGCTGCCTCAGGTGAGGAGATGCCCTGGAGGGGGCTTCTAAATTTATTGAACAGGATCAAAGTTGGAATGGGACCTTGGAGGTCTTCTAGTCCAGCCCCCTGCTCAAGCAGGAGAACCTATACTATTCCAGACCAATGGCCTGTCCGGTCTCTTCTTAAAAGCCTCCAGTGATGACACACCCACAACTTTTGAAAGCAGTTTGCTCCACCGATTAATTGTTCTCACTGTTAGGAAGTTTCTCCTTCTTCTCTCCTTGGTTAGATTCCATCCACGGTTCCTTATCCTACCTCCAGGTGCCTTGGGAAATAAGTTGGCCCCCTCTTCCTTGGGGCAGCCCTTCAAGTTAAGATTGTCAGAAAGGTAAGAGATATAAGAGATAATAGCACGTAAAGAAAATGTGATCGTTGCTATAACTGGCAAGAAAAGTATTAATTATAATTGTTAGCACAAGATATATGCGCCCAGCCTGTTTAAATCAGAACTTTGCTGGCTGGAGAATTCTGGGAGTTGAAGTCCACAAGTCTTAAAGTTGCCAAGTTTGGGGACCCCCGATTTAAATGAAAGATGAGTTTATTGTAAATATAAAATAAAAAAAGCTTTAATTAAAAAAAACAAGAATTGGAAGACAGCTATCATGTCACCCCCCGGTCCTTCTTTTCATTAGACCGTACTTATACCCAGTTTCTGTAATCGTTCCTTGTATGATTTAGCTTCTAGGCTCCCTAATTTTTCTTGCTCTTCTCTGAACTCTTTATTTATGACTCATTCAAAGGAATTCGGCTTCATGTAACTTAAATTCATTATTCCTTGCATTCAGTGCTGGGCTGCTGCCGGTTCGGGCTGGTTCTACCAAACCGGTAGTTCCAACAATCAGCTGGCCCCTCCCACCCACCCCTGCCTATCCTGTCTTATATTTCCGTGCTTTTCAGCTCAGCTGGATTTCTCACGCCTCAGCTGTTTCCCTTACCGGGGGGCTGCCCTGTAGAGGTTCAAATTGGTGTGTTTTTTTTAATGTTTCCTGCGTGCTCACAGAACCGGTTGTTAAACCTGTTGTAGCCCACCACTGCTTGCACTGCCCCCTGGAATGACACCCTTTCAGGTAAATGCAGGTAGCTAGCTCCTTCTTCGGTCTCCTCTTCACCACCATGCATGGCATGTTCTGCATTAGTCAGACTCCACTTGGAATCCAGGTCTGGGTCCCTCAACCCATAAGGGAGGATTGAGAGAAACTGGAACTGGTTCAGAGGAGGATCATGAGGCTGATCAGAAGAGTAGAAAGGGACTTCCGGGAGAAGGTCTACTTCCAGTAAGGGAGTGATGGCCTCGCAGAAAAGGTCCGGACCTGCCTGTTACTCTCCACTGCACCTGATATGCTTTGAACGCCAGAGACCTTTTGATGATGAGGGGAGGGGAAACCTTCAGTGGGACAGGTAGCTCAGTGGGGTTCCCTTCCATCTCTGGGGCTTTATGGGAAGCCCTTAATTTTACAGCAAACACGATATGACCTTCTAGATAGGCTGTGGATTTAAATTCTTTTCCTCAGGATGGAAAACAGTCTCTGGTACTCCGTCTAGTCCAAGGGTCTCCAACCTTGGCAACATGAAGACTTTGCTGGCTGAGGAACTCTGGGAATTGAAACCCACAAGTCTTAACGTTGCCAAGGTTGGAGAGGAGACCCCCTGGTCTAGTCCACCCTACGACTGTTGAGAGCAATAGGCTGCTCCAAAGGCCTTTGAGAACTACACCATCGGAGGGGCCTCCGGTTCTTGGGGTCCTGGAATTCCTGAAACCCTCAGACTTCTTCTCCACCAGTCCCTCCAGATGCTAGGAGGCAGCCTGCTGGCATGAGAGACGTGGATCTGTTCAAACTGGCATTCCTCCAGCCTTTCTTATTCTCCACACACCTTTTCAACATTGAGGAAGCTCCTGCTGAACTTTGTTGGAATGTTTTGATGTCTTCCATATACTTTCTGCTGGAGTTGTTTGTGATTGTGTGATTCTAAGAACAGTCCTTTGCAGGATCTTCCCAGCCTTTTCTCCTCAACCATCTCAAGTCACTGGAACTGAACTGCTTGCTACCCCCGTTCCCTTTTCTGGAATCTGCATACAAGCTTGGCTCTTCTCTTCTTCTTCCTCCTCCTCCTCTTCATGTCCCAAATACCACGGTCCCTTTCTCCCAAAGCATCAGTCACCTACATTCCTTTTCCCAGTTCTTCCCTGTTGGGAAAGATTAGACCCAGCAGGACCCTTTGTTCCTTCCTCTGCCTTCTGATGAATGGAGCTATCAGCAAAAGAGGTCAGGAACTCGTTGGCAAGTAGCCCTGGAAGGCTACAGCTTACTCGGGAGGAGAGAAAAGAGGGGAAATGTTCTGGTGTATGTAAAGGAGAAAATACCCTTGAACAGAAATTCACGAAGCAGAGCATGGAAATCCTGCTGACGGTTCTGTGAAACAACAAAAGGAAGGATTAGTGTCCTTGGCATTGTTGTAGGAGCTTATTATAAACTGCCTGGACAGGTGGAGCATTTGGGGAAGGCTATTCTATGTCAAAGGACCAGACTTTCAATGAGGCATATTGTAATGGGGGGGGGGGGTTCAACCATCACAATATCTGTTGGGGACCTAACTCTGCCAAGCGTGCCACCGAGTTCCGGTGATGCCTAGGTGGTCATAATTGTCCTCCTGGGTTAGTGCTCCAGGTTCTCCCTGTCTACTCCCATATTCAGGGCTATGGTCTAGCAGCATCTAAGATTGTAAGGGATACCACCACTGCCACCACCTGTCAGCCCTGAAGGTGGCCTAATTGTGGCCATTTTCTCCTTGTAGTTTTTCTTTGGGGAGGTTTCTGCTTCAGGGTTGACTCAGCCTGGAGTGAAGGGGCCAGGGAGTGGGGTGTAGAGAGAGCTGGAGTGTGGTAGCTTCAATAAAATTATTTCCCCTGGGAATCAAGGACGTTCGTGTAGGTGTTCGAGAGGTGGAGACTGAGGTTGCCTAGCAACCAGACTACATGCTGATTGGACCATGTGACTGGAGACTCTGATGGGAGTTTTACTTTTAATTGGGTGTAAAACCGGCGGGAACTTAGAGCCGGTTCTCCACCAAGACTATGCCAATTTGATATGCCCCAATAAGAGTCTTCTTTGAGGAATAGGCCTGCCTCGGAGTTCTCATTGAAGGGGATGTATTCCCTGGAACCTTGACACCCTCTACCTGCCGCTGGCTCCTCTGTTGCTTCTTATTCTCGAGCTGCTCCTTATTCCACCAATGAGAAATTGGGCATTTTTTTTCTTATTCCATTTATGTCACGGACTTTTCCTGTTGTTTTGCAAAAGCTCCTGCAATGACGCTGAAGAAGTACTTTGTGAAGGCTCTCCATCGCCTCCAGAAGGGCCCTGGATACACCTACCAGGAGCTGCTGGTCTGGTACTGTGACAACACCAACACCCATGGGCCCAAGCGCATCATTTGTGAGGGTCCGAAGAAGAAGCTGATCTGGTTCTTCTTGACACTGCTCTTCGCTTCGCTGGTGTTCTGGCAGTGGGGCATCCTCATCAACACCTACCTGTCCTACAATGTCACAGCCTCTCTGGCCATCGGCTTCAAGACCATGACCTTCCCCGCTGTGACCATCTGCAATGCAAGCCCTTTCCGGTGAGTTCCTTCTGCAGGGATCCAGGCTGGAATCGGGAGGGCCTCTGCATTCATCAACAGTCCCTGGTACTGCTGTTCAAGTTGGATGGGATTCAGTGGTGGGATTCAAAAATTTTTACTACCGGTTCTGTGCGCATGGCTTGGTGGGCGTGGCTTGGCAGGTGTGGCAGGGGAAGGATACTGCAAAATCCCCATTCCCTCCCCACCCCACTAACCTGCTTTCCAGCCCCATTCTCCTCTGCAGGGCAACCAAAGAAGACCCAGCCAATCAGCTGGGACTCGATGGGAGGCAGAAAATAGATTGGGTTGGTGGGGCCAGTCAGAGGTGGGATTGGCCGGTTCGCTGAACTACTCAAAATTTCTGCTACCAGTTCCCCAGAACTGGTCCAAACTTGCTCAATGCCACCTCTGCTTCCTTCCCCTTTTGTTCCTCTCTTCCTTCCCCTCTTCCTTCCCCTTTTGTTCCTCTCTTCCTTCCACGGGCAGGATTCCAATTTGGCTTCCTACCTGGTCTAGTGCCCAGTTGTTGTTTGGAGATGTGTGTATGGTTGTACAGGATCCTCTCTGCATTTTCCACTTGTGGTGGCCAAACCTGGCCTGAACTTCTTTTGGCACATCTCTCAGGTATTCTAAGGTGAAGCCCTTCCTGAAAGACTTGGATGAGCTCATTGAGGCAGCCCTTGAAAGGATCTTGCAGCCCCTTCAGGGAAATGCATCGGCCACCCCTGCAGCAAATCTAAGCGAGAAGCTCAACTTGCAGCTCTGGAACCAGATCCCCCTGGTCTTGATTGACGAGAGCGACGCGGCTCATCCAGTCATCCTGGACATTCTTGGGAACGGCTCTCTGGGTCCTGGAGGGCACCAGAACTCCTCCACTTTTGGCAACCTGGAAGCAAAGAGATACAAGCTGGCTCTGAAACTGGTAAGCAGGGGAGGAGGAGGATTTCCCCCATGACCCCCCCAGAGGAGGAACTCATCCCCTGCTCCTAGGCATGCCAATGCCCCTCCCTCACAGCCCTGCCTGGTGGCACACCTTCCGGGCTCTCCCACAGGGTGGTCCTTGCAGCTCTGAGCTTTTGGCTAGGGGTCTAGGACAGTTCACTCCGACCAACTCGACGTGGCTATTTCACCACGTCCATCTTGCAATTGCCAACTCACCACGTCCATCTCACTGTGGACAACTCAGCCCAGGACAAGTTGCCATGGCCAACTTGCTGTGGGACAACTCGACTCAGAAAATTAATTCCATGTGGGATAACTCACTATGATAAATGTTATCTGATGCGGTTTCTTTGATATTATTTCCATTGACAAAAATGGAAATTATGTCAAAGAAACAGTGGTGGATAACCAGGGCAGATTATTTTGTTGAGTTATCCATGGTGAGCTGTCCTGTGGTGAGTTGGCTGCGTCAGAACGGCCACGAGAGTTGGCCATGGTGAGTTGTCCTATTCTGCCCAGCTAGACGTTTCCTTTGGCAGCTCTGCTGGTAAGCAGGCCAAATGGTGGGTCTATTTAGAAGTTACTGAGGAAGCCCCACCAGGTCACTTGCTCAGTGGGAAAAAGCTCCTTATTTCTGGGCCAGCAAGGTGTCATGTACCTGAAAAGGCCAACACCTCCTCACAGCTGCTAGGCTTCCCTTCCAAATGTGTTCTCCCTTCCCTCCTGGTTGCATCCTCAGTGCACACACCTCACCCCCCACTGCTTCTACCGGAAGTTCACCAGCGCGGCCCAGGCGGTGACCGAGTGGTATGTCCTGCAGTCTACCAGCATCTTGTCCAAAGTGCCATTGAGCAAAAGGATTGAAATGGGCTACCAGGCAGAGGACATGATCTTGGCGTGTCTCTATGGAGCTGAGCCTTGCAACCACAGGTAGGTGCGCAGGAGAATTCACTTCGCATTTGACTTGGTTCCTTCTTGAACCGCAAGGCCTTGTACGGCTCTTAGTGTTCAGTGTGAACCCACGTGCTGCGGCCTGCAGAACCAACCAGGATATAAAAATCAGCCTGGGGTAAACCAAGGAAAAGGCAGAGATCCAGTGCCCGAGCTTCCCGTAAAGGACTCCGCAAGCGAGTTCGTTGCTGCCCATTTGCAGACTCTGAACTGGGCCACGCAGAGGTCTCAGCCGCAGGAGAGGAATTGTAAGGCGACGATGGAGGGCTGAATGAAAGATGCATCAGGAAGTGAGTGAGCTTGGCGATACCAAGTGAGATGACAACCACAAGCCACAATGGGTGTGTGTGGTCTGCAGAGACGCTCCCTTCGGTGGGTGACGCAAGCTGTGCTCCCGGGGCAGGGGGGGGGTGTCCAAGGGGGGGGGGGGGGGGTGCTGCCTTCTCGGCCTTTGGGCTAAGAGCATCTTGTCTGCTCTTCCTCCACTTCCTGCTGCCTTAATTCCCTTTCTGGCCCAGTCCAGCTCGGTCACAGAGGGTGGATTACCCTCTGAGAAACAAGATCCTGTATATTGAAATAAGATTTTGCAAAAGCTTCAGTCTCAGATCCGGAGAAGCTTAAACCAACCTGGCTAAAGCCAAAACCAACAAGGCAGAGAAGACTTCCCTCCTGTGCGGGGGGGGGGGGGGGGGGGGGGGGGGGGGGGCTTCCACGGGCCGGACAAGGCCTTGGGCATTGCCCCCCAAGGAAAGATGGGGGGGTCCCTCAGTTGCCAGAGTGAATCCTGGCCAAGAGGCTTGTGCTTTGAGTACCCAGAAATCTTTGGGGTGAGCAGACATCCATCCCTTGGCAGGGCTCCCAGTGAAGGCACAGCCTGACGAAGCTCCAGCGAGGCTGAGCTGGACGTGCTTCTCTGTGGCCTTTCCCTGGCCGCCTCCTGGACCCCTGCAGAACCTCTCTGGGTCTTAGCTGTGATTCTGTGACACTCTTGTCCACTGACTCGGCTTGGAGGGCAGCCGCCTCTCCTTCCGGCCATCGCCTTGCCAGGAGCAATCAATCAGCCGACATTTGAACTCCTGTTTGAAGAGAGGCAGCTGACCCTCTTCACCAAATGGTTTGGTTTTTCTGTTGGAAGGCAGGTACCCTCCACATCATCTGCCACAAGCCTCTTATTTTGGTTTGTCCTCAGTCCAGAATTGCTGATCCCCAATGGCTGCTGTTCTGACCAAGGCTTCCTGGGACCATAGTTAAGCAAATGCATAGTCCAAACAACTCTTTTTTTATTTCAACGCTGGGAATTATGTTCATTCCCAGCCCATAATGAGTCCCAAACAGTCCCTCGAGATAAGCACCCACCTTTCTCTCCTTTGAATTGCTGCCAACAACTAAAGTGCCAAATTAATGGTACAAAACCAAACGAAGTACAAAGTCCACACAGGGCTTCAAGGATTAATCCGAAGAGAATGAATGACTTTGCTTCCTGCAAAGATTTCATCACCTTTGCCTGTCCTTTATCCCTTAGGAGAGGGGCAATCACCTCCCAGCCTTACTCCCGAGTTGCCTCTTTTGTCTTAGCTGCTCTTGCCTTCTGGCAGCTCTGCACACACGCACTGGGAACAGGCTCCCCCTGTTCATCTACCTCGCTGCTGCCAGACTCTGGAGGCTCCGGAATCAGCACCCCACTTCCAGATGGCCTTGGCCCCGCCTCTGCATCGGATGCAGGACCTTTGTCTGAGTCCTCTCCAGACTCCCTGACTGGTCCCTGTTCTTCCCCACTGTCCGATTCCGCTGCCGTCTGCACAGGTTGCCAGCAGACCACAACAGCTGCTTCCTTATGCTGCTCATCCCCATAAGTCGGCTCAGGACCCAGGGCAGCGTAGTCCCCTTTCCCTTCCAGAGCCTCATCAGCTCCTTGGAAGTTTTATGACCGAAAAGGTTCGTTTGCTCAGAGTCGGCTGGACCCATTTCCCCCCCCCTCCGAAAACAAGAATTGGTCAACAGGACCGTATCATACATTTTATGGGTGAATTTATAGGAGTTATATCCTCCCTCCCCTTTTCATCACAGCAACAACCCGATGAGGTAGCTTGGACGTTTTCAGAGAAACTGAACGTGTGCGAGGGGAGCCCCGGAGGCGCCATTCCTTCCGGATGTCAAAGCCAGGGCTCCGCCAGTTAGCTCCGAGGCCTGGCTTCACACGGCCCCCACGCCAGGCTCCCTTAACTGCTGGCTCTGTCCCCGGTCTTTCGTGGCTCAGAGCCTCCTCCAAAGGCTGGATGCCGGGGACTCCCGGTGGTTGGCAAGAGAAACCTCCAGCCAGCAATTTGCTGGCTGTCCGGTTTTGGGTGAAGCCAGGAGGAACCTTCGTGTCCATAGTTTAGGCCTCTTGGGTTGTGTGAATGTGGCCAGTGCATGGATAACCTTCCCTGGAAGTCAAATCAGAAGCAGACGCTGGGATTGATCTGGATTTTCTGATTTCTCACGGCAGCTCAGGGTCTGGTGGAGGGTTTCCCTGGAAGACCCCAATGCAGCACCAGAGAGATGATTTACTGCCCGCTCCCCTGAAGTTTGGGGAGGGCCAGTCCAGCCAGTCTGAGGTGGGCCAGGACCCCCACGAACCTCCCCACGAGAATAATCTCTTTGCTGCTTGGCTTCCTGCAGGAACTTCACCCACCTCTACCACCCGGACCACGGAAACTGCTACGTCTTCAACTGGGGGGTTGAGAAGGAGCCCCTCCTCTCCTCCAATCCAGGGGCAGAGTTTGGTGGGTACACAGGGGGGGTATGGATGGAAGACCCCCTGGAGGAGGGTCTCAAGGCCTGGCTGGGCTCCAACTGGAGGTGGGGGGGGCTCTGTAGAGCTGGCAGGGGCCCCACACCTCTCCCGCCATGTCGAAGTAGATTTGGTCCCAGGAAAGGGAGACAGCCTCGGGGTCCGGCCCTGCAGCTGCGACGGTCAGCACCATTTGTAGACCTGGAGACGGGCAGGGGGGGGGGCTAACCTTAGGCTGGCATTGCTCATCCAGGCTGAATTTGTGTGGGGGTTGATGCCAAGCCCCCTTCCAAAGGCCAGAAGTAAACTGGAGCAGGGAGACCCCAGCAGCAAAAGAAGCACTCTATTGCA